ATGTAAAAAATATTTAGATTTTACTAAACATGTAAATTAAAACAAATATCTCATCAGGAAGAGAATTTATGAATGTTTACTTCTTTATCATGAGCATCACCTTGTATTCCTCATAATAAAGAAGTTGACATCCATCAATTCTCTTCCTTATGTGTATCACTTCTAAATGCCATTCAAAGACTTAAATATCTCAGAAGTTCCCAGCTTTAAAGCTCTCCACACTAATGTCGACCCTAGTGGACAGGCGCATAGTCGAAGGACACCCCCACATGAATCAAAATTACCTGTTGACATCATGACTCTTACTGATTAAGAAGAATTTTTTTTTTATTTCTCCAGAAACCACATGCCTATAGGACATAACACTAAATCATATATATTTCATCTTACAAATAACATGTGAAGTGACAAGTATTATATGTGCATGAAGCAACATACATTTAAATGCAAATATCAGGTAGCTGGACACCTGGAGTTCATCAGATATTTAAACATACATCCCAAGCATGATTCACAAATACTAGTGTGAACATGACTTTTCCTTAAATGATAAAACTACACACAAACAGGGATTCAGACCAGTTCCTTTTCTAGGATACTGACTGATTGTCATCCATAATGTCCTAAAGTTGTTCTAAAATTTGGTAAAATCCTTTCGAAATGTAAAAAAACCAGATGAAAATGTCCTAAAGCCAACAAAATCTCTGTCAAGTAAATTTGAAGCTCATTTTCAACATAGAATACTAAACCAGCTCCCGTGTAATACCAATTTTATGAAACGAGCAAATTGTTCTGGTATCTGACAAACAAAAGCGAGTCAGATACCATATGTATTCACGAGTTTCATAAAATTGGTTTTACACGGGAGCGACTTTAGTATTTTGTTTATTGCTTGCCATTTATAACGTTTTTATACTGTTGAGTATGAATAGGCTGACACCTACACGATCCATGGCATAACCCAATTGTTTAACAGAATAATACTTCAAACACATCAAAAGTTGAAACGTATGAATTTAATACCATACAACCTTAGAATTCAGGTGTCCATTCCAGAAAAATTATCATAGGGCTAAGGTTATCGCATGATACTTTATACTTATACTTTAACTTAGACTAACAACTGTCATTGCGCTACAATATGATCGCCTTGTGGAACGGGGCCTTGCACCTCAAAGTTTACAATCACGTCACAATACCCGATGACGCGTAACGCTAGCTCTTGCTCAATTATCAAATATTGACAATCTCCTCAAATCATGGTAGAGATTTACCTTTTGGGTTAAATACATTTCAATATTCATCACAGTTATATATGAAATCTGTTAAGAATTATATACTCAACAACAAAAGTGACACCAATATTTAAGTGTATTTTTCAAACAAGTAAAGTTTGGTTTTCAATATTGTAGTACATGTATGGGATCAAGTCACAAAAACGCAACTGCTACAGAAAAGCATGCATTCCATGCAAAAGTTTACTTTGATGCAAGCCCCATGCATTTCACTACCCAAGAATGGGTATAGAAACATGTTCGTTAACAGGATGGCATATGCATTGTTTACCATCGTGCTGACAACAACCACTCAGAAAAACAACAAAATTACGCAATTATTCAACATTACGAAATGCCACGCCTGTCAGAAAATGAGCGTCTGAGAGCAATTGGTATACTTGAAGCAGGATCTAGTCAATGTGATGTTGCAAGACAATTTAACATCCACAGAAACACCATTTGGTGTTTATATGGCAACGTTGACAACAGATGAATGCAGTCAGAGACCATCCTCGGAGTGTCAGGCCACGCATAACCAATAATCGACAAGACAACTGGATTCGAACAACACACCTACGAAATCAATTCCAGCTAGCAACAGTGACTGCAAGAAGCATACCTGGCCTTCGACAAATATCTTCACAAACCATACGTCGTCGCCTCAGATGTGCAGGGATTGTCGCCAGAAGACCCACCAGACATCCCATTTTGACAGGAAACCACTGTCAAGGACGTCTACAGTGGTGCAGACAGCGTCTATGCTGGACGGCCATGCAGTGGGGACAAGTTCTATTCACTGACGAGTCTCGTTTTCACCTCAGCCACAGCGATAGACGGATTCGAGTGTACCGACGTCGAGGTGAACGTTACGTCAATCATTGTGTCATGGAAGAAGATCGGTTCGGGGGTGGTAGCATTATGGTATGGGGTGGGATTACAGCAAGACAGAGGACCTGTTTGATAGTGGTAGAGGGAAATCTCAATGGACAGCACTACTGCGACGAGATCATCGGCCCTGTAGTTCTACCGTTTTTGCGTGGTCATGGCCCAGGCATTACCTTTTAACATGACAATGCCCGGCCTCATATTGCTCGTCTTGTTCAGAATTCTCTTCAACAAAACAACGTGAATGTCATCCCCTGGCTGGCTCGCTCCCCTGATCTCACACCAATCGAGCACATGTGGGATGAGATGGATAGGTGCCTACGACGTCAACCACGTGTTCCACAGACACCCCAGGAACTTCAAAACATGCTCCAGCAGATATGGACAGATATCCCACAGGACTTTGTGCGATGCCTGTTCCATTCCATGAGATGAAGATGTGTTGCTTGCATCGCAACCAGAGGTGGACACACACGCTATTGATTTGTAAATTGACATTTTGGCATGTTTTTTATGAAATCACACATTTTCTGAAGTCAGTATGGAAAAATTAAACTATTTGAACACTTACAGGAGTCTTTTATCTGTTGCAAACCGAAATTGTTTCAGATTTGGTAGAAAACATAACTTTGCATTAAATCTTATTCAATGTCACAGGAATATTTGTTGTTCAGTATATAATTTATTCTGTATCTGAATTGATCAGGCACTCTTGATAATGCCTGATCATGGTGTAAGAAAGAGATACTGCCTTTGTTTTTACAAATTCTTTGTATCTTGAAACAGGTTTTATGCATAAAAATATTGGTATTCACTTTCAATACTATCTATCTTTTTAAAAAATATATTATTTAAGAAGAAATGATATAATGTCCTATATAGAAAGAGCCAACAAGCTAAGTTTTATGCAATGTGGGTCTTGTACCATGAATCATTTAGTGTTTGTTGGTTAGTTCTGCAATGAAATCATGAATGTGTTCCTTATGTCGTCGGTAGTTTTGCTATGATTTTGATTAATACATGTAGTTGCTAAAGATTTTGTACTTCAAAATAGTGTCAAAACTACTAAAGTTTATTTTACTGGTATTTGTTTAAATTTGATAAATCAAATTTTCTCAAACACAGTTTTTTTTACCAAGTCTTGCCATTGTAATAAATAATAATACTGTCCTTCCATGGGTGTTGTAGAACCATGCTACACATACTGTTGAATCGGGAACTTCAGGTTATAGCAGACTAACACATTTTAGGGCCACTTGGTTTACTTGGATGACTTTATGGTTACAGGTAGAATAAGTGCAAGTGTGGGCAAGATATTCCTACACATAGTCTAATTACATAACCTGTTACATAATTCTGATGCGCTATGAGCGATAAATGAGTATTACAACAATGAGGCACTTGCCATGGTGGACTCTCCACCTGGACTTGGGGAACTCTCCACCTGGACTTGGGGGAACTTGGTAAATTCCTTGGTTCTTCTTACTTAGTTCTAATTTATTAGCAGAGAGTTATTGGATGCATGTAGTCTAACATTATGTTTTTTGTCTCCAACTTGTTGCAAATTGCTCAGTGGTGCCTGTGAATCCTCCAGTCACAGCTGGGGTTGTAAATTAACCCTTTACTGCATGCACCAGTCTCTGAGGGGCTGGTATCTGGCACCATGACACTGCTCAAGCATGAAGTGAAATTTCATTATGATTAGATACGCCACGGTATTGTAAATTAACTCCTTAATGATAGCTACATTGTAATCATTAAGATCCCTTATATTTTGTCGGAATTCATGGGAAATTGCTGTGAATTAAGTGGCATGATATGTATCGCATTGTGAACAAACTACCTACTTAAAACATAATCTCATTACTGCAGCATTGTTACAGTTTTCTATGAACATAAACGAATCTGGGTATTTCAACTGACAACTGACTGATTTACTCAGTTACATGTTAACATGGGTACATAATGTAATGTTTCTTCATCAGACGATGACGAAACAAAAATAATAATCATGCTTTCATTCATTGTGTCAATTTTTGTGTACACTTGACATTTCATGAGAAATATTTCTTAAGAAACGTTTGTCCAGTACTCAATGAATAATTACATGTGATGTGCAAGCCTGACTGTTGCCGCTAAATACAGCCTGCAGTGTTTTGCTGTTAAAAGATTTTACGGCACTTTAATTATGTCTGTTACAAAGGGAGGTTAACCTTATTTGGTAGGGAGCTAAGAAGCAGCATGGCCGAGATTTAATTGTAGATGGGCTGTCTAAGAAGAATGTAGAGTCGTGTGGTCAGATCAAGTGGCATGCATGTTCATGTAATATAAGCATAATAAATAACTCAGTAAGCTTTGTGATGCGTAGGGCCGGGTAGCCTTGTGATTAAAGCATTCACTTGTCCTGCCACAGAGCCGGGTTCTATTCCTGACATGGGTATAATATTTATGTTTAATGTTCAACTTGTATTTGCATGTCGTGTGATGCTGTCGGCCATTACTGCTGTCGAGTAGTTTTGTATATTTGATTTTGTTGCAGACAGTCTTCGTCTCACATATCCTCAGCTACACAATAAAGAATATAAGAAAGAGAAAAGCATTGACATGTATTGACTTTCATAGATACACTGACAATGAATGTTGTATAATGTCAATAACTTTAATGCTTTTGCTGGTATGGATGACCCCTGGTACCATGACTCCACAGAAACAGGACCGATTCAGTCACTTAACTTAAGTCCACCTGAGTATATGGTGAGCAAAAGTGTACCTTGGTGCTATGTTTGCTTCGGCATTATCATTTATGAAAATACACAAAAGTCCTCCTCCTCTCAACAGGGAATTCCAGCAGAGAAGAGTTGAGTGGGAGAAAGAGATTGAGATAAAGGTTGAGGATATCGAGAAGATGAAAGAAGTCAATATGGTGAGTGAGACGGTCGCTCTCTTTAACAATTGTCATGACATATTTGCCATATAATAAGCACTTTTGGCACTTAGAAATTGACTAAGGATTGCATATTAAAACCATACAAGGAAATGTCAAAGATTGAGAGGGAAAGAACAAACTTTGTTTCACCTTTGTTCCCCGTGCATAACTGGTGATTCAGTATAAATTACTGCGGTGATTGCTTGAAATAAATTAATCTACAACCCACCATTGTAACTTGAATAAGACTCTCCAATTTGTTATTCTTGTTGCTTTCCTGCAAAATAATCAAATAATATATATATATATATATACACACTGAGTCAAATTAAAAACTTCACATTTTTAAAAGTAATCCCATATATGATATACAACGGACAAATGTATCAGAGAAGGTAATTTTTAATCATTAATGTCCGAAGAAGGATTTTAATTAACGGTGGTAACCATAATTTGTTCCAAGCACCTACAGTATTCGGTAATAACATCAACAGTTTAAATCATAAGTCCAAGCACGAGAATCTGATGGCACACAAGTTCAGTAGCGTGTATGGCCACCATGTGCATTGACAACTGCCACACAACGCCTCTGCATGGACCTTGTGATGCTTGTGAACACATGATTGAGAAGACGACACCATTGTTGCTGCAAAATGGTGCCAAGATCTTGCAAATTCTGTGGTTGGTTCTGTAGAGTGCGCAGACTTCTGCCAAGAGCATCCCAGACGTGTTCGATGGGATTGAGGTCGGGAGACCTTGACGGCCAGTCCATGACATTGACTCCCGCATTCTGAAGGAAATTCCTTGTCAAAATTGCTGTGTGGGGTCTGGCATTGTCGTGTTGGAAGATCAAACCGGGTCCATGTACTGCCATAAAAGGCAGAAGTTCTGGTGCCAGTACCCGGTTTCGAACAGTTTGCGCACTCAGTCTACCCCTAAACAGTTCATTTCTGGTTGATGTAGCCTTCAAAAATTGGTTACAGAGGTGGCGTAAGACAATCTGACGATCCTCTGCATGTGACATCACATTTGGTCGACCTGGCTGTGGGCGATCAGTGGTGGTACCTGTTTGCTGTAGACGCGTCTGTAAATCATAAACAGTCCGTTGACTACAACCCATCGTCCTTGCGACTTAAGCTACGGACGTTCTTGTCTGCAACATGCCGATGGCACGTTCACGTTGCACATTTGAAAGGCGTGGCATGACAAATGGCCGTAAAAACTTTTGTTTTCTTGTGTTTTTCTTTTTTTGTTAATGACTGCTAACAAGTATGGCTGAAAACACGTGCAGTATTATGGCCACGTGACCAGTTGCACGTGACAAACCACTTTTGCCACTATAGTGCTGTGCACATGATTTTGATCGATTCTCCTGCACAAAAACGGGTGTTATATGAAGACAATATAAGGCCATTACTGTTTAAATACACAATAAGGGCCCACAATGATAACTGGTCAAAATGTTAAAATTTTAGGATTGTGAAGTTTTTAATTTGGTTCAGTATATATTATTTATTTAGCATTTGGCATCAGCGGGTAGCCTCAGATGTATGAAACCTTTGTATCAAACAGCCACCAATTACTTTCTGCTATGACGCTGAAGAAGGATGATTCTGTTTGGTAAAAGTAATATCCGATACCTCAAACATAACAAGATTTTCCATAAAAAACTGGCATGTTACTTCATCCATATATCGATAGCAAAAATGTGAATGCATGTAACAAAGGTTGCAGACAACCGATGAGAACAGTTTTTGTTTGCATATTTTTGTTTACCCTTCTATTTTTACCTCAACAATCTATTGTTGAAAAATTTTGCAGAAAATTCAGGAAATGTGTTTTGTTTTCTTGTTTAATGCATCATTATAGATCAATGTTCTAGTAATAAGGAAGATAAAAGGACAAACTATTTTGGACTTCATTGATGCGCATTGTTATCTTTTTGGGATGGATAAGTATCAGTATGAATCTTCACAGCAACTGAATGGAAAACTGACAGCAGCAGAGACTGAGAGGACCTCCACAGAAACTGAGGTGAGTGAAAGCAAGAAGCAGGGCAAGTATAGCTGGAAGAGACTAGCTAGGGTACATTTGATGCATCACATGCATTTGTTTTGTTTTCTTATTATTATTGAGGGACTGGAATAATATTACTGAGTTAGGTAGAAGAAGCATTTTGTGATACATTCAGTGATCAGTCATTTTGATTTGCTTGTTCCCATGAAGGTTTCAGTTTCATCAAATGAAGCTAGATTTTCTTATTGAGATAAATTTAGGGTTCAAAACAAATTCAAAATTATTTGCATTCTGTTTTGTTTTTATTTAGATTTTCCTTTTTCAGTTGATTGCAGCAAACACCTCCCTTTTGGAGAGAACCAACCAGCTGAAACAGATCCGTCATGATTTAGACAGTCTGAAAACACTGCAAGATAACCTTGACCAAAACTACAAGTTGGAAAAGGTATGTGGGACTGGATGAGGAATGATCGGCTTCAGAGGGGGCTGCTAAAAATGTATTTTCATGAATATAATGTTGCAGCAACAAATTGTTTCCTCTACCACAGATTTCTTTCAGATTTTGGAGACTTCATCCTTGATATGCTTCATATTGATAGCTGCAGAATTTCAGTTTATTCCATGAGATAAAAGATCATTTTCAGTACATTTAAGATAAATAACAAAATCAACAGATTCATAGTTATGTCTGATGTGAGGGACACTGTTTTGGTTTTTATCCTCCGCCCCAACAAAGTTGGCGGGGGATATTGAAATGGGGTCCGTCCATCCGTGTGTGCGTGGGTCCCGAAATCGTTTCCGGAGCATAACTCAGAAACCGTTAAATATTTCTCTACAAAACTTTGCATGTCTATCCGACTCATGCTGAACTGGTTGCTTTTGCTATTAAGAAATTTTAGAATTTTTTTTTTTTACGTTTCCATGGCAACGAGTTGGACTTAGGTTCTATAAGGGTGGTGTTCATTTCCGGAGCGTAACTCAAAAACTGTTAAATAATTTCTTACAAAACTTTGCATGTCTACCAGACACATACTGAACTGGTGCCTTTTGCTATTTAGGAATATTATACATTTTTATTTTTTAAGTTTCCATGGCAACAAGTTGGACTTAGAAAACAATAAGGGTAGGGTTCGATTCCGGATGATATTTTCCACATCTATCAGACATATGCTGAATTATTGCCTTTTTATATTACTGGGCATTATTTCTAGAAATATTTCCTTGCCAAACATTGCATGTCTATATATAAAGCACATACTGAACTGGTGCCATTTGATATTAAGGAGTTTTAGAAATGTTTATTTTAGAATTTCCACTGCAGCTATTTGTTGGGTCAGTCACCTGGTTTTAGACCGTAACGTGTAAAAATTGGCGGGGGATATAGATGACTTCATTGACTATATGCTTGTTCTCTCATGAGATTGATTGTAAACAGTTCAATTCAGAAAGTATTATCAGTACTCAATGGAAACCTCATTTTCGTGACCTCACATAAGCTTTGCAATGTCCTCATATATGATTGGTAAGGAATGCAGGTCAAAGGTCACTCCTTTTATCCAAAACACTTAAAACCATGCTGTGGTGAGTTGTTTTAAGGAATTTAATCAAACTTGATATACATCATGGCTTAATAGCTTAATCCTTTTAACTTTAACAGCTGTCATGTGACCAGTGCATGCATGTAACCAGGGCCTAGATTTTTGAAGCCACCATAGCCGAAAAATTATCCTAAAGTTATCGTAAGGAAATCATAGACTATCGTAGCCTATTTTCAAAACTATCGTAGCCCAAAGATATCTTAAGATTGTCGTAAATCTAAGATAGCCCCATACCTGTCATAAGTTTATTTTATCTTCATCCAAGATGGCGGCATGCATTGCTGAAGATATTTTGCAAACAAATAAAACATTCAAATATTGACATTTCATTTTGTTAAACTGTGTGATTCAAATTGACATGTATAAAACAAGAAGATTTCACATCAGAAATGTTCTTAATCGCGACAGCGATCCACATAACTATGGAGTCAATAGCTTACAGTATATTTCTATCCAAGTCCATGCTGAAACAACATACCCTTTCGATAATTTGGGAAGCATAAAAATGGAGGGTGTCAGCAGGCTATAGTAATGACCGTGACCTTATTGATAACTCAGGGGCAGCCAATCTTAGTTTATACTCCAGTTGAGAGTGGTTTTCCCTTTGTATTCACCCTGATTGCATTTGTGTCAATGCTTTAGTCTTTATTTTCACATTTTATAAAATTATATCAATTTACATATGTGACAAAGTGCAAAACCATAAGTGTTTCTCATTAGTTTTTACATATTAATTGTTGTTGGATGGTTTTAACAACTGAATTTTAACTATACTTACATACATACATACATACATACATACATACATACATACATACATACATACATACATTGTCCAAAACTAACCATCCAATATTTCTGCAGAAAATGTTTTCCCTCTTTAGGCATATCGATCCTGATAGCGGTCTGTCCAACACCTCTACAGTCTTCTTTATGCGCTTCTAATAGATCTTGTCTGCTGTACCCATGTAGGCATCTTTCGCAGAAATATTTCTTTTCTTTATGTTTTGTTTGATCGCATAATAGCCTGTTTAAACTCTTTATCCATGTATAATGATATTTTCCATCTTTTTCGATCAGAAATGAATTGATTATGGGAATATGTTCCGGAGCGGAGCTTATCCTGTGTACAACAATTCCTTTAGAATGTCCGAAAACATTTATAGCTAAATAATTTTGCTTTTCCACCTTATCAATTTGTGATATTGGTGTAGGTTCGTCTATACCATCGAAGTTGAGTCCATCGTTTTGGGGATAGCTTGAAGGTCTATCCGGATGCTTGTCTACGGGGAACAATGCAGATCTTATCATCATTCTTAAACAGTCATCAGATTTATTTTTTACGTTAATGATGGCTTTTTTCTTCTTATAATACTGGGGTAAATCTATATAAGATCCACCTTTGAAGGGCATATAATTTGCTATATCTAAATATAAACTATCAATTTTATCCACACCCCAACCCGAACCTCTATTAGTCCAGCGTTCTAAAGTTTCCTGTATCCTCTGAATTGATGTATCTAATGATGCGTTTATAGTATCGGATTCAGTTATAACTTCTTGATTGCTTCGGAAATATGGTTCGGTATATTCGGTGCTATCGTCTGTGTTACTTTTACTCAATAACATTTTAATCGTCATCTGGTATTTTATACTATGTAAATCATCTAACTCCTCGTTAATTTTACTCGATATGATGGGCTTAATATCGTTAACATCCATGTTGGAATTAATATCCATCTTCCAACCTCTTAGATATTTACCAATGCCTGCGGATGTGGGTACAAATATTAATTCTTGTTGTTGTTGTTTATCATCATCATCATTATGTTGAACATCATTATGTTGAACATCATTATTATCTAGTAAAGCGATCAATTCAGCTCTTCTCATTCGAGAATAACCTCTCAGCCTACTGTTTCTCGCTTGAGCTTTGAGTTCTCTAACAGTCTGGGGTTTGTTGTATTCCAAACCGAGTAAGGTAATCAATTCAGCTTTTCTCATTCGAGAATATCCACGTAGACCACGTTGCTTTGCCATAGCCTTCAACTCTCTGACAAAAACCATTGTGGTTTAATGGTATATGCAAAATGATTCATTTGTCTAATTGGTTGTTTTTCATATATAAATACGTATTCTCCCCAACCTATTCCTCTCATCTGCTTCCTGACCTTATCAGCACCGTGACTCTTACATAAACTGTAACTACATTTGACTCCAATCCCACATACAGAACAAACGTAATTTTTAAAACCCTTTCTGATGTTATAAGCGTGAGTGCCACAGTAAATACCCACAGATGGCTTCTGACATTGAATCGATTTCCCCATGAGTGTATATTTGCATAGATTCATGGTTATACACATATCCTATCATTTGTCTAAAAGGTAAATCACATCTACACTATTGATTAGGCAGTCAGCCAACGCTATTTATAGATTAGCTGTCATGGTGATTTATTGATTAGCTGTCACTCTGACTCCCCTAACTAGGTCATGGTATAGCTGACAATAGCAACAGCTGATAACCCCATTATCACAAATGCGACCTCGCGGTTTTTCTGAGCCTCTGATGGTGTATAAAACTGACTCATTGTTGGTCTCGGTATTGGGTCGAGTTTTTTCCCATAAATGAGGAATTATTCGTGCATGGCAGATTCAACATCCTTAAATGTTTGTATTGAATGTCCTTCCTTACGCAGTTCTTCATGAATAAAGTCTAATCTCTTCATTCTCTGCTGCGTATATTGTGACTGAGCTGCTTCGAGTTGTTCTGAAGCATTGTTATGTCGTTTACGTTCCTCTTCAACTTCTTTAGCATTTGATTCCCTCATACTAGAAAATAAAAAATTACTCCCCCAAAAAGCTAGAGCATTAACAATAGCTCCACCGACCATCATCGCAATTGTTGCCATAGTATATGAATATAAAAATTCAAATGTTTAATTAATTACTTCATTATGTCTTCCGGGATAAGTTTTTGTTTGATGAGCATATCTTTTGTAGCCATAGCCAATCCAATATCCAGAATCATCATACCGATATCAAATCCATTAAAATCTAGCTTGGGAGGTGTGGCTTTAGTAATCATTTTAGCTATACGGGCATAGCCAATGGCCAAGCCGGTGACCACCGCTGAATGATACGTTGCGTTTACCAACATTTTACCGTCTGTAACTGGAGTAGTCTTGCTTCTTATAGCATTATATGCGGGCTAACCTCTAATTGAACTTGTTGTTGCATTGGGGGTGACATTTTCTCTTCTCCGGTCTTATAAAAGAACCATACAGCCGCTATACCAGCAACTCCTACTAGTGCCCATGTTTTAATCGGATTAATATTTGAATTATTTATTAATTTTGCTTTCCTCGCCAGTCCTCCCTTCCTCCCAGCTGCGATTTTGAAAGGATTCTTTGTCACTCTGGCTTTTAGTATTTTCTCATTCACATGTGGTGCAATCTGTGTTTGTGGTGGTTCCTCATTCACTCGTTGTTCCGCAATCTGTTGTGGTTGTGCAGTTATTTCCTCTTTCACAATCTTTTGTGGTGTCACCTGTTGAGTCTCCATTATTATTAAGTGGGCACGTATGTTTAAATTGACAATACCTAGCCGTTATTAAAGCGGTGGTGAGTGGAGCTAAGAACATTCCGTATCTATGATAAAACCCACAGCTAACTGCACTAATAGCGTGTTCGATGAATGGGTCTTTCTCGAGAGATTCGCATAAATAAATGCTATGTTCTGGAGAAACATACTAGCTACGACTGTGTATAGTTGTAATATAGCCAACCCTATCGTTTTAGTCATGGTAGCTCCCAGTCTAGACTCGTAACGCGTGTACAGTTTTT